GAATAATATGTTCTTTGATACGCAATTAAGCTCATTCGGTTTGGTTTTGGCAAATTGTAATCAATTCTGTTTTGAATGTGAGTGGGAGTGACTTTTTTTGCCCCTCCCTGTATATCTGCTGATATCTAGCTGTTGTTCGGTTTACTTTAGGGACTCATTGAGTAAGGAGAAGGGGCATTACGGTTTAGAGCGCTCAACTTGTTTGGTACCAAGGAGAGCATTTTCTTTTATTGTGTATACTCATGAATAAGCCTCAGAAGGGAGGGAGACCACCAGGCGCATGAGCAGTTTCCTTTTTCCCCCGGATAGTTCCTTCCTCCTTGGGCATAGTCCTACTACCTGCCTGCTCACTAGACGAATATTACTTTTCCTAGCCATTTATGTCATCCAACTTAATAACATGTACAATACACGAAGAACAGAAGAAATGTCGTAGGAACAAAGCCGATAGGGATCCGTAGCTTTAGGGGACTCCTCGGGCCAAATTGGCAGTTTGTGCACCGCAATGTCCATCTTACTGGATGAGTCCCTTATTGCACTCCTTTTCGCCTTCTGTTCTAACACAGCGTATATTTCAGGATTACGAAAAAGCTCGTAGTTACAAGCTAGACAAGCATTTATTCAGCTTCGCACACGATTTCTATGGACAAGTTTGGACCACGGTATGTCTGATGTTTGCTTTGTTGAATCTTTGATGGCATAGCATGATAAGATGGATGTCAAAGAAGTACGAACGTGCTAATTGTGGAGAAGGTTATGTCTTTGAAGGAGATTTCCACTATAAGTTCGGGGGTAGGGGAAAAGGATGCTTGTCTAGCGGAAAGACAGGCGGGCCTCTAGGTGTACGGACCGAGACGCAAACGCAGAGAAGCACGCCACGGTGATCTAGCATAGCCGTTCCCCTGCTCCTACAGCCGTGGCACACCCACTTTCTCTCACTCTTAATCCGTGTGACCCTCAGCCGTTCAGTTTAGCAGAGAGAGAGAGAGAGAGAGAGAGAGAGAGAGAGAGCGTTAGCGTTGAAGAAGGCACCACCAGTGAGAGTCGCATCATTGCGGAAATCAACGGGCTAAGAAGGGGTACCGTTTCTTGTGTTGTGTGTCGTTTCTCATTTTTTCTCTTTATCCCTACATTACTGACCACCTCTACCTTGGTTGTAATGGGCTACCTTCTCATCGTAAACTTCGCTTTCAAGGAGGCGATGGGTGGCGCTTTTGGCGAAAGAGCGACCATAGCGACATAGCGAAGTTTAACCATCCGTCCGAGCGCTTCCATGACTGTATTCTCCCTTCATTTCGCTTACCCCAGCTTGTGGTCCCCTCCGTCGAACTACTGTTGAGGTCACACTCGAGGCTGCAAGTTCACTTCTCATTTCAACGTAATGCCTTTCATGGTATATCTCTGCCGAAAGGCTTCAGGTGAGGAAGGAGCATGTTCGAACGAACCTTCTTGCTACGTGGCTGCTTACCTGCGCGTATATGAAATGCCGCTACGCCGTAACTCACGTTGCGTGTCATGGGGTTGGATGCGAGGGATCTCGTCGATTAGCTCACATTAGCCGTCAATAGCTCTCTGTGTAAGGCCCTAGCGCCCCGACGTTGTCGCACGCTTTCAAGCGGCGACAACGGCACATCTGTAATACACATAAGGGACTCTTTCCTACCCATAAAATAGATTGTTCCGTATGACCTCATCGGGGGTTGTTGCTTTATCTTTCTGTGAGAATCTGCGCTGTTTTGCAAATTCAAGAAATACCGCGAAATTAACTGCTGTTCGAATTGTAATAAGTTAAACATTAAATGGAGCGTAATCTTTTTTGGAATGCGCCACGAATGCGACTCTCACAGTGTGTTTTATTAGCATTGCAATACATGTTTGCTTCTACAGAGTTGCGTGAGTTAGCTTATGTACGATCTCCCCGGACGAGTCTGATGTCCTGCAGTAGACGGACTTCTTGTAAAAAATTATTCTGCTTATTTTGCAGGCAGTTCTTGTGTTTGGTTGGCTGCCATGGTTGTGGTATACGTGCCAACCTTACCCACTCCCATCAGTTGTATTTCTCGTAGTGAATTCGTTAGTGGATGCTATTATCGATTTACCATGGGACATGTATGACACTTTTGTTATCGAGGAGAAACATGGATTCAATAAGCAAACTGTCGGTTTCTACATGTGGGATAAGGTAGGCTTCAGGCAAGGTTAGTTTGAGACTCGTCTATTTCATGGCGTGGATCGTTTTATTTACAGTTGAAAAAAATGGCAGTATCGATGGCCCTCATGTCTCCAGTTGTCCTAGTAGTTGAATGGATAGTTGAGAATGGAGGTCAGTATTGATTTTTAGTTGGAAAATGTTTTCCCAAAATCTATTTTAATATTTTATATACTTGTAGGTCATAGGTCAACTGTACGAAGAGTACATCAAAATTTTCAGGCCCATATTTCTTCGTTTACGTGTGGGTGTTCCTTTCTATAGTTTTGCTCCTGTTAATGACAATATATCCAGCATTCATAGCTCCGCTATTCGACAAGTATATTCCGCTCCCTGACGGAAAGCTGAAGGTTGGTCGCGTATGATCAGCCCGTTTGATTACCTATGAAGCCTCGTTTAGTCCAATTGAAAGACTACTTTAGGTTGCCATAGAAGAACTAGCGGCTTCAGTGAAATTCCCTCTTACAAAGCTGTATGTTGTCTACGGTAGGTATTTTTACCTGCAGTTCTGTCTTCTTGTAATTTATGTTGTTAGGTTATTTAATCTATTAGTATGACTTCGCTTATCCTTCAATTACTTCATAGGTTCTAAACGTTCCGCGCACAGTAATGCGTATATGTATGGCTTCTGGAATAACAAACGAATTGTACTGTACGATACACTTCTAAGTGGAGAGGAAAAAGAGAAAGTTATAGAGCAATGCGCAGAAGCCGCAGCAGATATGACAGATAAGGACAAGGTACTTCTAGTTTGCCTCAACATTTTACTTTTCCCCTCAGTAATGTACACAGATTACTCTTCTCGAGAAATCGTGACAATAGCATTCTTGCAGGTTCGAGGAATGTCTAACGATGAAGTTGTCGCTGTACTTGGGCATGAACTTGGCCATTGGGCTCTTTGGCACACTCTTATTAACCTAGTTATTGCCGAATTGAACATATTGTTTATGCTTGCAGTATTTGCTTATTTCTATCGATGGGAACTGCTTTATGAGGTAAAATTTCTATATATTCTTTCTCCTCGTTAAGGTTTCCTATAATTTTTATCAGAAAAAGCAAGTAACATATTTTAAGGCATTCGGATTTCATACGACACCAACCCTTGTCGGGCTTATATTGGTGATCCAGTTCGTCATGGGTCTTTACAATCAGGTTGGTCTGTGATCTTTCCTATTTTTTCACCAAAAGATCCTGTTCTAGGTTACTGAAATACTCATGTCGATTCACTCGCGCCGATGTGAGTTCGCAGCTGATGCGTACGCTACCAGATTAGGACACGGCGACCGGCTCATCAGCGCCCTTACGAAATTGTGCAAGGTATGAAGTGGTTTCGGCGTCCCTGTTTCCCATACTTACTACCTGTAAGCAGTAAGCACGATGGCTGGACGGTGGTTCATTAGTGACGTCATTGAACGTCAGTGGATAGTAGACCATTAAGGCGCTAGTGGGTATGATTGGAACCGCCTCCTAACCCCTTTCTATTAGACAAGTGACGTCATGTCAATCGCAACGCTCTTCAGCTAATGATTACTGACTTTAACACATTCACGCCGATGGCCGCCCATATGGGCTGCCAACAACATGCGCTCCTGGGACGATGGCAGCCCATATGGGCTGCCAACTGATAATCGCTTGCCAGGACAGATAGGTGGGCAAACCTCGTAATCGAGTGTAAAATGCTTTTAAATTCCTTCACGGGGAAAGTGAATAAATGCTCTCTTTTCGTAACCACTATTTGTCGTTCTGATCGAAATCCTACTGTTATATGTTTAGATAATCTTTACGCATTGGACATTGCAGAAATTATTTTGTGACATTCATGTTTTTGTTCATTTACAAAACAAAATCTGCGGTTATGTGGTGAGGCGGCGGCGCCCACAAAATCGCGTCCGTCCCACGCGACCGAAAAGTGGAAAAGGGGCGTCGTCGTGAATGTGTTAAACGTCTGTTCAGGTCACTGTTTTATGCCTTGCAATATTTCAGGACAATCTTGTTCCGCCGATCGACGATCCGCTTTATTCAATGTGTAACCACTCACACCCACCAGTTCCAGAAAGGATAGAAGCTATCAATAAGATGAAGTGATTTTAGCTTTTTAAATTCCACAATATTGCACAACCGTACGATTCGCATAGGATTTCGTGAAATCAGTATTTGCATTGCATATCTGCTGTCACTTTACATTCTTTTGTGTTAGTCGTTTAGTGCCATGGGCTTAATCGATGGATACCAGCATTTTTTTTATCATGACACCTCAATCTTATATTGAGTATAGAGTGCCCAACTCACTATGTTGTTTATTTTATGGAATAAAATGTTCTGCTGACATTGCTTTTCTAACATTCACAGACAACAATTCATCTGTACTGCGAGACGACGTTACAAACTGAGGGTAAGTTCCTCCTGTCGATTTGGTTGAGTGAAGTTCAGAATATTAGTTTTAATTATGTTTTCTAGGAAACCGTTGTTGAAGTGGGACTTGAAAAGCTTTGCACGCATTAACTTGGAGATAAACCCGCAGTCAGCATACTGATGACAGATGATCACATTCTGATTTTTTTTTGCGTACATGGGAGAGGGGATTTTGCCCGCATGGCTAACACTCATCTTAAATCGTCGATTTTGAAGCAGAATATGAAGACATAAACAACACAATCTGGGATATAATAGTAAAATTCCGATCATAAGGTAGTGAAATGTCGCCACAGAGAAATTTAAAAATATTTTTGAGCAGTTATTCCGGTAAAAACATATTTTGCGACCCGTATGAGTTTGTGATTTATTATACTACTGTTTTCTACCTACATGCTTATGAGAATAAAACGAACCCAACGAAAGGAACTTTCGTAAGTGAAGCTTGGAAAACTTTTGCAGGTCTTAACCATATTTCACCATAGTGCAAACCATGTCGTTTATAGTGGTGACATGGTGTGATCTATAGAATGAATGCAAATAACTTGGGACGAAATCGCGCAAGCGCGAGAAAAAGGGATGACATGGATGCAACGCGTAACCACGTTAAAATACCCACGCGGTTCGACAAGCAGGACACATAACCACGCCACGCCGTCAGGAATGTTGTTGTTAGTTCACCATGGGATGCTACACACAAGCCAAAACAGCCTATTTGCGAAACTCAACAACTAAAGCAGCGCGGTAAGCTAAAAGTCAATTCCTTCCTGCTATTACTGCTTGATATTGAACAAAAAGTACGATTACTTTTTTTTTTGAAGAGTACCTCTCCTCACTCCCCAAGTTCTACATGAAGCCGTCCGCAGAAAGAGCGACCCTCACTTGAAACACTCGAATTCTCACACACTATTCACCTCATTACTATTAGGTACCGGATATCTTAGTGTCGCTTTTCTGAGTTCAGGAAGTTTTGGGGCCGATTACCATGGAAAATCAATATCTCAGAAAGTTCTTTTTGCTCATTAATACTGCGAAATATGTTGCTTATTGTTTTCTATTGTTGGTTTACAATTTAACTTTCCCCCAATTTTTATACTTTTTTTCTGAAAATTCCTGGGTCCAGTGTGCAAATTCGCATGTGTGTACCAAATGCCATCAAAGTCGGGCTGAGAGCTACAGATCCGCCAACCAAACCAACATTGCTTTTGTTGGAGGGAATACTACCATTTGGAATGCTCATCGGTTTTTCACAGTTTTCTCAAAAGACAGTGAAGTTTTTGAAAGGATGCCCGCAATCGTCTTCAAAAAGGTGGCCCTAGTTAAATCAGTCGAGACGGGGCTGCACCAGTCTTGTGCTGAAATGGTAGGACACTTTACTGTGATGGATCGATGATGCACAAACATTCCTATGAATTTGATTCCGCAAGATATTCTGATAAATGTGCTCACCTGCCTCTCACGCGCGCTCAAAAAGGGTGCGTTTTTGACCCTATGTTGCAAAAAAGTCTCCGTAAAAAACTGCCCACTTGAGCTGATAAGTTCTAATTTTTCTGTCGTGCAATGCAGACCCTACTCTAACCAGCTGTATACTTACTTTGTCCAGGCCTTAACTTTTTAGCAAGTAAGAGGGATGATTTATCAGAGGATGTCAAAACCGACCTGCCTCTCCTTTTTAACTCAAAAAATTCCGAGCTTGGATCGTGCAAGGTTTCCACTCAACTGTTAGATGAGGGGATCCTAGTGAGTCATTTTATGATTAAACTAATTCACTCCCCGGGTTTTGAACTGAAATATTGCTGGTCCAAAACTCTTGGTGAAAAAACGACATTAAGATATCCGGTACCTAATACTTGATGCACTGCTTTGAAAAATAATAAGTCCTGTAACAAATAACCATTTATATCAACCAGAACAAACGACAATAGAATGGCGTTAGATAGGGTTGTTCACCCACTTCTCTAGTGGACCATGCTCACGTACGAGTTGAACCCCAACCCCATCCGATCGCAGGCGTCCTTCTGCGCGCATGCGCTCGTAGTCAGCCTTATCCCAACGGGTGAAACCCCATTTTCGTGACACGACAATCAATTGACGACCAGGAAACTTGAATTTGGCACGACGGAAGGCTTCGATGGCATGATTAACGTTCTGAAAAAAAACATGATTAAGGATTGATAACATGTTCCATCCGTGTGAGAAGAGGAATAAAATGTGCTGAACATGCTCCTTTTCTCGACAATAGGATGAGTAATAATCCTCACAATCAGGGTAGTAGATTTCAAAATCAACGTAGAACATCGGAGCAGCTTGAAAAACATATTTCATAGTTAGTAAGGCGCGAGCATTGCAAGTCGCCGCTAATGATTTAACATCCAAGAACTGCCCGGTTAATGTTGGCATTGATGTTTGGAGGTAATAGTCTTATATCGAAACCATCGCTATCATCTTCATCGAAAGCCATTACTGTGAAGCCAAATTTAATTTCACTTATCCATCCAGCCCTTCAGACCTCTGTCAGATCAGCGATGTTGCCGCGTCACCACCACGACGGAGTCCTGGCGATAATCAGGGAAAGACTGCGTGAGATGCACTTGAAAAGTTTCGAGCTACTTACTTCAAGATACCTTTGAAGTTATTACAATGACAGGGAGGACCACTATCCTGATTAAGAATTAAAAAAAAACCGAGCAGAAAAACATGAACGTAATAACTTCGTATAGCATATTCGGACAGTCTGCGGCCACTGAGTGGTCGGTTAATTATCGCTCGCAGTGCATGAGTGCGCGGACCCCGCTCAATCCAAAGAAAAGGAAACCCTCCTCGCCTACATGGCTTCAATAGCCCATTCTTTACCTGATGACTGTTCTACTCTACTCGCCGAACTTCAAGATGTCCTTCAAGAGAAAGCGCCTGAAGCGCTTCCACTTCTCGAGAAATTGCTCACTATGCTATATTCCCAATCCTAGTGAGATTGTACAGGCGGAGAAAAGGGCACGTTCTGTTGTGATTGCTGGAGTAGCTGAAAATCATGACAATGCCTCGCCCTCCTCCCGTCAAGCTGCTACTGAAAAAGCGGTGAGTAAGATTTTGGACGTGCTCGATGTAGAAGCTAGACCCGTTGAAGTCTATAGGCTAGGCAAAAAGGAAGCAGGTAAATCACGTTTGATCAAATGCGTTTTTTCGTCTCGCAGGTTTTACTTCGATACTCTTAAGAATGCAAGATTACTCAGGAGCATCCCTGAGTTCAAGAATGTATTCATCCGCAGATCTATGACCCCTTCCGAAATCGATATGGACAAACAACTCCGCGCCAGAGCCAAGGATCTCAAATCAAGGAATGCCTAATGGTGAAAAAGTTTACGTGGTTTTTAGACAACAGGTTGTCAAGAAGTCTGATATTCCCGGCATCCTCAGCCAGTCAAAAAACTGAAAAGAAAACATGTCAATCCAAGTTTTTCTTGTTTGTTGCTCAATTCACGAAGTTTGGTTAACAAGATTCCTGAATTCCATCATCTCCTTTCTATCTATAAACCCACGGTTGCGTTTGTGACTGAAACATGGCTTAGCACAAAAATCGAAAACAGTGAAATCACTTCAGAATTGCCTATCTTATTGTCAGAAAAGACAGAATAGGAAGGAGAGGGGTGGAATATGTATCCTACTTCAGAGTCAGGTTGATTTCAAACCGGTACAATTTCACGTTCCTAACCTTGCCGCAGACGTTCTCTGTATGGACATTCTGAATAATAGCCCTCGACTATACTCGTTTTGTGCTTGTATATCGACCTCCAAGTCATACCCTGGCTGAGGATGTTGAGCTCTGTGACCTTTTATCTGATCTGTGTTCTGTCACGAGGAATGTTGTGCTCCTGGGGGACTTTAACCTAGATATCGATTGGTCTATCACCCATGCCCCCTCGCCAAGACAAAGCAGATTTCGCCGTTTTACCTCACTTTTCTCCCATCTTGGTCTTGTACAGCTCGTTAGTGAGCCCACTTGTGGTCACTCGATACTGGATCTCGTACTTACATCCCCTGATTTAGGATCCGATGTTGCGATTGGACCTCCTTTGGGTACGTCCGATCACAACATTGTGACCTTCCTGATCGATGCGCCAACCCAGGGTTTGAACCCGCCCGCTTTCAAAGATTATTCCAGAGCCAAACGTAGATGCAATCAATTTTGAATTGGATAGGTTCAATTGGCTCGATTTATTCAATGGATATCACACCATTGACGATGTCTACAATCGATTCTTGACTGCTGTTCATTCTCTTATCGATCTCTATGTGCCAATGAGAAGAATGATACACCCTTTTGATAAGTACCCGCAGCACATCAAAAATCTTTTTCACCAGAGAGAAAGATTGTTCAGTACACTTGAAGACCCCCTATTGTCTGACAGGTATAACAGAGTCAACAGAGATTTCACGTTCCACCTCAAACGTTATCTTGCCTCCAAAGAAAGGAAACTTTCTGAGTGCCGTAATATGAAGAATCTATTTTCATATGTTAGCAAACGCTTAGGCAAGAAAAAGAAATCTTTTGTTTGTATATGATTCCGATGGTCGTGTTCTTACCACTGATTCTGAGAAAGACAACGTCTTGGCAGATTATTTCGCTAGTGTGTTCTCATCCACAGAAACTTTACTTGGCAGTACGCCCATTTTAATCAATTCTGAGTGCCTTTCGCCGATTATCGATCCCAACCTCGTTTATAAATATTTACGCCAAATCAAAAGTTCATGCTCTTTGCCCTCGGGACAAGGTTCCCGCCATCTTTTTCAAAACGTTCGCCAAGAAGCTTGCCGTCCCACTGTGTCATATTTTTAATATATCTCTTCTGACGGGCGAAGTCCCTACTCATTGGAAACAATCGGTGGTTACAGCTATTCCTAAGAAGCCTTCCGCTTCTACGCCTGATGAGTTTAGACCTATCAGTATTACACCGACACCGTGTAAAGTTATGGAGAGAATTTTGAAATCATGCCTGCTAGACTGGCTCGTCAAACATGACCTCATCCCTCATGAGCAGTTTGGTTTCATTAAAAACTCGTCTACATGCTTGCAACTTCTTGAATGTACCCACATGTGGGTGGATGCTCTCAATTCATCGAAGAATGTCAGTGTCATGTAATTTTGCTTCTAGTAAGGCGTCTGTAGCAGTCGCTTGAACACGCACTCGAAATGCATAGTCTCGGCATTAGAGGAGCCTTATTTAACTGGCTCAAGTCCTATCTTTCTGATCGTAACTTTGTCGTGAATGTCCATGGTACCTTCTCGCTGAGGAAAAGCTGTCCCTCTGGTGTACCGCCAAGGCGGTGTTCTATCCCCGCTTTTATTTTTGATGTACACGATGGATCTTCCATCGGCGCTTGCATTCACCCCTGATATCAAGGTGTATGCCTTTGCTGATGACGTCAAAGCCTTTACTAGCTTTGACAGTGGCCAGTTCGCTATTATGCCAACTTTGATGAATGACGTTCTGTCCCGTATGTCCTCATGGACTCATGAATGGGGCCTTAAGCTCAACTTTGCAAAAACTTGTGTGCTTACTCTGGGTAAAAGACTGCCTCATTTTGCTATTGAGGGATTACCTCCATCTAGTATAGTTAGTCAGGCTCGTGATCTGGGGATAACTGTATCGAGGTCGATGAATTGGGAAAGTCATATTGAGCGTATAGTTTCTAAAGCTCTTCGATGCCTTTACACAGTTTGTTTAGGATAGTCAGGACGTCAGACTTGACCATCCTAATCAGGCTGTATAAAGCTTATGTTCTTCCCATTCTTGAGTATTCCAGTCAGGTATGGAGCCCTCACTCAAGAAAACTTATTGTGAAGATTGAAAAAGTGCAAATGACCTTCACAAGGCTTGTTTATTATCGTGTGTTTCCAGATCCAGGTTACCCTAGGTCCATGCCACATTACAGAATACGTCTCAGAGAACTTGCTTTGAGAAGTCTCTTATACAGACGTACTTTTGCGGATTTAGTTTTGGCATTTAGAATACTTAGAGGTGAGTCTCGTCTTACTTCTTCTAAGTTCTGGCGATTCAAACCTTCATCTCTTAGAAGACCATGTTTAAACATAATATGTTTCCAGATCTATGTACCGAGGTCGGTTCTAATAACATTTGCAGACATTCGTTCTTCCACAGAACTTCAGTCTGGTTGAATAAGTTGCCATTGGATCTTTTACGTATGGAGAGGGTATCACTCTTCAAAAGAGGACTGTTGAAATTAGATCTTATGAATTTGCTTGGTATCTCCGACTTCTAGTGTTCTAACTTTTGCTTTATTGATTCCTTGTTTATTTAACACGGGTTTCCATAGTTCTGTACAAGTTTGTTTTGTTGCATTGTTTTCTTTACTATTGTGACGCTGATCTGTTCTTTGCTAACACATTCGGTCGATTGCGCACGTCGGTAACTTGAAATACGTGTCAGTTAGAGAGAGGTTTTCCTGTTATATTGTCCACTCAATGTAGCTAATCCTTCCTCGCTATGGACCTGCATGCTTCACTATACTGCTGTTTGCGTTTACATCTAATCTTGATGAAGCGGGTCTTCTGCAGTCTCTTGATTCGACCCGGGGTTGCTACTACGTCAATGATAGGATCGGAGTACATATTTAATTATTCGCTCAGTTAATTGCTCTGGAGCACCACTAAGCCAGCGTGCTGGGTCCGTGTTTAGGTCAATGAGATGCACTGGCATCCGCCCTCATGCTGCGGCCTTGGGCTTGGTTATCTTCATGGTTCTTAACTAGGCTGTCTCAATCGATCTCACTCATCTCGCAACCCTTATTAGCTTACTTCACTTCAGCTTTGAAGCATGCACTGTTCATGGAGGATTTTTTTTTCCAAAGCAACCAGGTTTCGTTATTACAGTTAACCTCTTTCTATCTGGCCTTTCTCTTCGTAGCTTGATGGACTAATAACTATTTTATCTGTTTCCATCTGAGGACTATGTTCTTGGACACCGGTCGTGCAAGCAAATAAATAAATAAATGAACGATGGGTGAGGATGATTAATCTCCCCCCTGCCAACCGATATCGATCGTGTGCTGATGAGTCATCGCCCGTTGCTGCCACTCTTGTGCCGGGCAACTCCGTCGCCGGCGATTCCGTCGCTGGTGTACAGCGACGCAATCGCCGAGTCTGACCGAGGTCTCATCTGTGCTACTGGCTGATTACACAGCAAAAAGCAGTTTTATATTAAGGGTGAGCCAGTGAGGAGGATTCCTCAATAGGGGCAACATTTGGTTCCATGGGTAAGAATGCTGTATTGTGTGTTTTTGGTAGCTGAAATTTCAGAAGAGATTAAAGCCCTGCCCATAAAAACATGAATCAAAATTGCCGAGAACTCTCACAAGTGCCCCAATTTAATCGAAGCAGAGATTTTCCCATTTGACGCATATCGCCATTGATAACACATATAGTACGCTATATACTTTTCATGCTGATATAATATACGTTGGAAAGATTAAAAAGGAAGAGACCAAAGTGTTAAAGCCCCCCATGACATATGAAGCCAAACTTTAGTTTTGAGACTATGACTGGGAATTCTGTTGCACACCACCATCCCAAAATTCACTATTTAGGTGAGGCAGACCGTAGTAGAAAAAACATCAGAATATCAACATCTTGAAATGAGGATATCAGAAGAGTAATAAAGACCCGAAAAAAAAATAAAGCCCACGAAGTTAAAGACTTACTCCTTCCTTAATACGCATGGAGAAGAGGATATCTCCGATGTCGACACGGGCCACTAAGCCCTGAGGTTTTCCATAAGCTCCACGCATACCCGTCTGCAAACGATCAGCGCCGGCGCATGATAACATTTTGTTGATTCGGGTGACGTGGTATGGATGTTTCCGAACGCGAAGATGGAAACTGTCCTGTAAAAAACATAAAGAAGCTGAAAGTTTGGCTCATCTAAATGTTTTATCTTACCTTTCCGCAGTTCTTCACCATGTACTTATTGGCACAGATACGAGCCGCCTCAAGAGCTTCAGATGAAAGATGCTCGCGTTCGTTCGACATCATATGCACGCAGCATGGGAATTCTTCCACATTGGCCTTCTTTTTGCCAAGATCGAAAATGCGAATCTTGGGGTCGGGAACTCCTCGGCAGAAACGCGATTTCGGGTATGGCTTATTTTTGATGTACCGGTAACACCTAGCCGGTCGGCGACCCATTCTGAACAAATATAATTGTAAATCTCGTATTCATTCAAATCAAAATACTCGACCACGAAGTCTCAGAGGGAAAGAAGGCGAATTCCCTATGACTACTCTAGACCCTTCTGCCGGACGGTAGTTGAGTCATAGGGAATTTTCGAACTGGGAGTTCAGAACACACGTTCACAAAACGATTATGAATTTCATGTTAAACCTACGTAAATGCAAACATGAATTGGGCTATAAACACTCCCGTCCAAGAAAAACCACAAAAACCAACCGAGAACAAAGTATAAAACACCAGCGACGTCCCCACAAACCCTAAAAAGGTTTACCCAAGTTTGCCCTTGATACAACTTAGGCAGTAGAACTAGCAGTACTTTAGTAAAAACACAAAGCTCAAAAAAGAAAAAAATTTAGGACAAACGCAGGAAACAATCTCTGTACGAAACGAAATGAGATCGTTGACTGCGTATTTGACGCGAGCGATCGAAAACCGCCCCGACTCCGTGGAGCGCGTTATTTTCTAGTGACGAAATCCACTGGTACATATATGTAGGTATTGGATTGTCTTAAAATCGTACAAGTTCGCTTTTATTTAAGGAGCATACAGGCTTTTTGCATTTAAAAATTCACATGTGTACACTGTCAGGCTATCCGTGGTGAATTGTGCACGTTTTCAGCTAAGTTATGTTAACGTTTTGAGCTTTTCTTGCTTTTCCATTCTTCCTCATTGTACAGAAAACCATCAGTGTGTTTTATTCGGTCAGTTCGTGATCATCTCAATACAATTACCCTCTGCTTCCAAAACTAGATGCGCGTCGAGTGCAGACCACACACCACAAGTGACGACGGCCTCCACAAAATGTAAATGTTTTCTGCCAATGAAATGATTAGCCTGTTGCAGTTGTATTCTATCAGTTGTCACTAATACAACTATCATTTACCAAAGGCTATCACTATGAACCACTATTAGCCAGATTTACTTGGAGCCGTCGCGACATGTGGTGTGGTCTGCACTCGACGCGCATCTGGTTTCGGCAGCGGAGAGCAGCTGTTGCTGTGTATAGGGCACGCTATCGGGTGGGGTGTGGGTACTTAGGACAGAACGCGACTTTTTCGCTCTTCGCAACGCGACATCGCGCGGCAGGCTGGCGCACCCGCAGCGAAAACAACTACGGTATGGAAGAACGCGCGATTGGAGCAGCTTTTTTGCATGCGTGAATTTGTAAGTTTCTGATTCCTTACTTGCCCGCGCTCACACCCATTGTATTGATAAATGCGGTGAATCACTAATTCTGTCTCATTATTGAAAACGTTTTGTGACTTACACGATTCCGGGCGATGCCACAAAATGGTGTTTTACGAATTATCGGTGAACGAGGGTTTAATAGTGTCGCTTGTGCTTGCATTTTGTGGGTTCATATTGTTGTATAGACATCTGCATAAGGGTATAACATCTTTTACGGAACGCTTCTGTCCTCATTACGGATATGATACTCATTTTGGACGCTGGCGCCATTTGGGGCCAGGTGGCGCCACAACTGTTTCCCACTAAATTCGTTTTAAACTTTTGTATAGGGGTT